AAAAAAAAAAAATAATAATAAGGAAATAAGATTTCACTGAGCTATCCTGGACTGACAGGCCCAGAATAGCCAGAAGCTGGGCACTTTTTGGAAATCACTTAGTTTATGCTTGCGGTCTCCTTTAAACCTGGTATTCTGGGTCTCTTCTACCAATGGAAGTATACCTTGTTCCTTCCCCAACTGATAAGGGTGTCCCTTCTCACACCCTTCTTAAACCTCTTTGGTTATTCCATGAGCCCAAGAGTTTGAGGTTGCTGTGAGTTATGACCCCAAGGGCACTCTACCAAGAGTGACAAAGGAAGAGAAGGGAGAAGAGAAGAGAGGAGCAGCTAATCAAGCAAGTGGAGAGATACTAGGGCAAGAAGCCTTCAGAGGGAAAGTGATGACCGGACACTGCAGAGCAGCAAAGAGTAGCAAGGTGAGTGGGGAGGAGGGGAAAGGGGGGGATGCACACTCACTCCCTGGTTCCGGATATAAAAGGTTCTCACTGCAGAGGCCAGCAGCAGTCAGGGAGAGATGTGCCCTCCAGGTCGGGATCTGTGTGCCAATGCTCCTCCTTTCAGCCTGCAGTTTTTACTGCCAGACAAAATGCCTACAGATTTAAGTCAAGAAGGGTAGAAGGAGCAGGGCAGCGGGCAAAGGAAAGGGTGAGGAAGGAGGAAAGGAGTGTTAAGCAACTGTCTGGGTCCAAGGTTCACTGGCCTTTCACATCTGCAAAAGGGGCAGCTAGCTCTATGCTCAGCACTTTCTGTGATAAGGAGGCACTCTCTGGAATCTCCTTTGTCAGCTCTGCTCTATGACTAGGGTGCAGTTTCTGTAGCCCCGGGGGGTTAGTGTCCCAGAGCAAGTTAGCTGAAGACAGGGTGGTGGCCCAGAAGGAATGCACAGCATTCTCGGTGTCCTCTATGCCCCACCCTAGCCTCTCTTCTCCCTCACCCCAAGCAATTTTAAAAGGCAGGAAGGTTGCACAATGACACAAAGGCTTATTCACGTGCTGAGAGTAGAGGAAGTGTAATAGTCATCCCTGGCTCAATGGTTGAGCGTCCTAAGAGAAGAACTCTGCACAGTTCCCCACACAGAGAAACAGGTGGCTCCTCTAAACTTGGGCCATTACCCCGAAGTCTGAGGCTAACGCTACTTCAAAGGAATCAAGGTTAAGAGACCAAACCTCTAACTGTATCCCCACCCAACCCACCTGCCCTTTTATCCTTAAGAAAACATACCAAGATCTTTGGGATAAGCATAAATTCCTATAAACACCTTCCTCAGATACAAGTTTACTCCACTTTTCCTAAAAATAAGGAATAAGGCTTGGCGCCTGTGGCTCACGTGGCTAAGGCGCCAGTCACATACACCTAAGGTGGAGGGTTCGAATCCAGCCCAGGCCCACCAAACAACAATGACGGCTGCAACCAAAAAATAGCCAGGCATTGTGGCAGGTGCCTATGGTCCCAGCTACTTGGGAGGCAGAGGCAGGAGACTCGCTTAAGCCCAGGAGTTGGAAGTTGCTATGAGCTGTGATGCCATGGCACCTACCCAGGGGGACAGCTTGAGGCTCTGTCTCAAAAAAAAAAAAATAATAATAAGGAAATAAGATTTCACTGAGCTATCCTGGACTGACAGGCCCAGAATAGCCAGAAGCTGGGCACTTTTTGGAAATCACTTAGTTTATGCTTGCGGTCTCCTTTAAACCTGGTATTCTGGGTCTCTTCTACCAATGGAAGTATACCTTGTTCCTTCCCCAACTGATAAGGGTGTCCCTTCTCACACCCTTCTTAAACCTCTTTGGTTATTCCATAACCAGAGAACAAACATCTAAAAATCCCTGCAAGACTTATATCTACTCTACATCCTCCCATTCTAGCCCCTTAAACTTTTCATTTAAACCAGGAAGGGCAACCCAACACAGCCCCATAAAACTCCAAAATCCACCCAGAGGAGATGGTCCTTTTATGCCTGGACCCCTTTAAAATGCTTCTATAATAATAACAGCTACCATGTATTGACACTTACCCAAGGCCAGACACAATGCTAAGCACTTAAGTGCCTTATCTCATCAAACCCTCCTTGCATCCCCTAAGACAGGTACTAAGTTACTATCCAGGGTGCCAAAGCAGGGAAGGAGGTAGGTCAGTTAGACTCCAGAGCTCACACACTGTCAGCACAGAACTACACTATCTCCCCACCTTCCCATGGTTCTGAACTGCACCAGTCTCTAGGAGGTAGTTTCCCAATGAATCACCTGGGGCAGGGTGTGATTAGATAAAAAAAGAAAACCTCTGCCAACCCTCAGCCTGAGCCTAGGCTAAAGGCTGCAACAAAGCTTATTCATCTTTCCCGGCTGCTTTCTCATTCTGCGCAGGGAGGAGAGGCGGTTACAAGTTCTCTTGTCAGTGCTGCTATTGCTAGGGTGCCCACTTCTAAAGCAAACAAAAACACAAGCAAACCCATCACCTAGTGTGCCCTTTTAAGACCAAATTCACTGGCACTATGGGTTAGGCATGCATCCTAATGTGATGTAAAAGCAAGAAGCAAGGCACAATGGAAGGGAAGACTCTGAGGGCATATGAGAAGATAAGTGTGCAAGGTTTCCTTCCTCACTGGTGATATCCCAAAATGAAGTCCTATTCATGGAATCTTGAGACAAATCTGCCAAGGATGAAACCTGCATTCCAGCAAACAGCACGCCCTAGTGGTCGCACCAGGAAATACTAGGAGTGGAATATCTTTGCTAACCTTCAGTCAGACCACACCAAGGGGGCAAGGGAGACTGCCATTCTGGAGAAGGTGAAGCCCCTCTTTTCTCAACCACTGCCTAACACCATGGGCAGGAAGGCACCATCATTAGCAGCTCACATTCCCCCCTAAGGCCCTGGGTCTCGGGGTAATGCTTCTACTCTTCAGGCAGCCTGGAATCAGCAACACGTGTAGGCGCTCCTGAAGGGGGCTCTCCCACCCCTGCTTCACAGGAGAAGCCTCATGGTAAAACAGTGCCAGGTGTCATCTTCCCCTGTCTGAGGGGCACCCATCTGTGAGGACCTCGTGGAAATTACAGGACAACACAACTCACCAGCCTGTATAACAAGTTTCCAATTCAGAATGAGGCAGTAGGGTCCCCAGCAGCAGTGCCTGAGAACAGCCAGTGGAGCCTCTAGCCCTGACCCCACCCTCAGATGGCAACACCAAAACACACTCCCTCCAGGAACCAGCACACAGTTGTGGGTCTCCTTAGCCAAGTTCAGGGAGCTACTGTGAGGACACACTTTCTCCCTCAGAGACCCCATGTTCTGCCTTCCTGGCTCCAATTGTGCTGCCTCCCCTAACAACAGAAACAGAAAACAGATAAACTCTGGATGGTTTGAGTTCCCCATCACTCCAAGCTCGAAGCTCAGCTCCTCCCTCCCGGGTTCTTCATTTGTTTTTCTATATTCCACTGTATCTAAGACAGTCCCTTTAAAAAAAAAAAAAAGTGAAACAAAAAAGAAATTGTTTACTCTTGTGGCCAGGGCGTCTATTAACGAAGAGATGAAGTCTCTGGGCAGACAGTTTTGCCCAGGGAGGGCCAGGGCTGGGACCAGGAAACAGGAGGTTCTCGGGTCTCCCTCCGTTCAGCCGATTTTTCAGGACTCACTCCATCCTCCTCCTACACTTCCCCTCAAGCCCTTGTCCCTCCTCTCCCACCTCTTACCTGTCCTTTGACCTTTGGGCAGGTGCTGGGAGGAGGGGCTACCAGCACGCTGTGAGAGGTGGGAGGGGAAGGTTCTAGTTAGGGGAACCAAGGGTATGGCTCCTGCTGCAGCAGCTGTTGACTCTGAGGAGCAGAAAAAGGAGAGGGTGACGGGACTGAAATGCAAAACAGGAAAACACATGTGCGACTCTGGCCGGCGGCGGGGAGGGGCCAGAGGATGGGCTGGAGCTGGGACTGCCTGGTCAAACTCAGAGGCCTGCCAGCCTCCAGGCACCTTCTCCACTGAATCTCAGCTCCTCCTCCTCCCCAACCCAGCCCAGGTCTTTGTTGCCCCACATTTATTGGGCACTTAAGCTTTCGCGTGATTTACTGTGCTCGCTGATGCTCCTTACAACTCCCCTCTTCCCTCATTCTGCTTCCTATTCATCTTCCACGTGATCACATGGTTAGGGCAACAAAACTCTGTAGTCGCATCTCAAGAGTTTCAGTGCCATTTCCGCCCCTAAAGCAGTGGTTCTCAACCTTCCTAACGCCGCGACCCTTTAATACAGTGTGGGTCTCGACCCACAGGTTTAGAACCGCTGCCCTAAAGCAAGCCAAGGAAAGCCACCTGTGAGGGGCGGGTGTATAACCACACTCACACTCAAAACACCAAACAAGCCCACTCATAGTGCAGATCCTCAATTGGTTCAGGTGATGTCGATGTGTTACCTGGTAGGAACCACCTGGGCCCAGGCACCCTGAGCTGACACCCCTTCAAACAATTGTTATTTAAATATCTGTTGAGTGTTGACTTAGCAGGTGTGAGAAAAACACCAATTTTCCCTAAGAAAAACTTTGTAAGCCTCTTCATATTCCAAGTTAGAGATTATTACATAAATTCATCACATGCAATTTTCTAAAACAGACTTCTTGGTAGGTATATTAAACTATTTATAATGTAGACAATAGCATAAATCTCTGTCCTCAAGGAGCAGTACTTTCACAATGTATCATGCATTTTCACAATTCCAGCTGTGAGTGATGCCTTTAGGCAACTGTAGCTGGCTGAACTCTGGGCTACACTCTGCAACTTGCAACAGTGTGTTGCAAAATTACTCCTGAGATAGGTAGTCCAGCTGAGGAATCATCATGTCTTCTAAGTCACTGGATAGGAGCCAATGTACATTTCCCCGAGGCACAGAAATCAGAGTATCTGATTATTCTGAAGATAATTTTGTGCTACCCAGCTGGCCTGCCCCCTAATTGAAAACTGGTCCAAGTAGCCAGCAAAAGTCCTGGAAAATGAGACAGAAAACTGTCCCCATCAATACTGGCCCTTTCTCTCTCCCTTCACTCCAGCCACACTGCTGTGGCCACACAACAAGGTTGCTCCCACCTCAGAACTTTTGCGATTCCCATTCTCCCTGCCTGGAACCTTCTTCCCAGTAATACTGTTCATTCCCTGTGTTGTTTGGTTCTTGTCACTTCTCCCACTAGAATGTAAGTATCAGAAAATTGTTGGGGTGGTGTCTGTGGCTCAATGAGTAGGGCCCCGGCCCCATATACCGACGCTGGCAGGTTCAAACCCGGCCTGGCCAAATTGCAACAAAAAAATAGCAGGGCACCTGTGGCCCTAGCTAGTTGGGAGGCTGAGTCAAGAGAATCGCCTAAGCCCAAGAACTGGAAGTTGCTGTGAGCTGTGACGCTACAGCACTCTACCGAAGGCACCAAAGTGAGACTCTGTCTCTAAAAAA